CAGCTGGTCAGGTGAAATCAAAGATCAAAACGGTGCTCATTTGTTTTTGTTTTTTGGATGTGAAGGGGATAATGTATTTGGAGTTCATTCCACCACATCAGATATTAATCAAGCTTTTTATTGAGAGGTTCTGAAAAGATTGTGTGAACTAAAAAAGCCAGATTTGTGGCAGACGGGGGACTGGTTTTGCCACCACAACAATGCACCTGCTCACAGCCATCTCAGTGCGCCAGCTTTTGGCAAAAAACAGCTTGCCCCATGCACCTGACTCATCTGACCTTGCTCCACTTCCACATCTTTTTATTTCCAAGAATGAAAAGGGACATGAAAGGTCAGCTATGATGACTTAGAAGAGGTGAAGTAAAAACATGAGGGAGGTGCTGTCAGCCATCCAAACAGATGAATTTGAAAAATGTTTCCAAGAATGGAATTGCAGATTTAACAACTGTATTAAGTACAATGAAAAGTACTTTGAAGGTGACAAGGTTTTTAAAAAACAATTAAATACATAAAATTGGGGAGGATTCCATTTTGGGGGGTACCCCCTCTTATGTTCTTCTATCACAACTTAGAGTTTGCAGATCTCATCTACCCTTCCTTGATTAACTACTTATCACCATTTTCTAAGTGCTGACTCAAAATACATGTACTTGATATTAATTTTCACTTCCACAACTTGGATTATGCATCTTCCCACCAATCACTTAATTACATGATAGCTAACAAATACCCATTCTTCTAGATTCAGTCTTTTCAAAGTGGGAGATACCAACCACTCCCTGGGGGCACTGGAGCGATCCAAAGGGGCTGCAAAAGCAGACACTTACACTTTACCCTGGATTATGAGCTATCGTACAAAAGTTTTTGATAGCCAGGGAAGCACTGAGTAATTTTTTCCCCTGAAAAGGGGACATCTGTAGGTAAAATAAGTTTGAAAAGGTATATTCTATATTCATTAGGCTCAGAAAAGTTGTAGAGAGCAGAAGCAAAGAATTTTAAAGAACTGTGTTGAATTCTAGGAGCCCTGGGGGGGGGGGTAGTGATTGTGCTTTTGAGTGCTAACTGCAAAGTCCATCGTTTGAAACCACCAGGCGCTCCAACGGAGAAAGATGGGGCTTTCTACTCCTGCAAAGATTTACAATCTCATAGGGATAGAAACTCATAGGGATAGTTCTACCCCGTCCTGTAGAGTCACTATGAGCCAGCATTGACTCAATGGCAGTGAGTTTGAGGAGACTGGGACTTTTTCTTGTTGAAACCTAATAACCACTGACACTTGAGGACAAGACTAATTTTCACATCCCTAGAACTTAACAAGTAGCTTGGCACAGACAGACCCTCAATAAATGTCTACAGAATTAATAAGTTAATGGAATAATAAAAATATAAATGAGAACAGGGTCCAAAGATAGCGACCACCATGAAGGTGGCTACAGAAGATGTCAATGTTACTTTTGAGGACCAGCAAAAGATAAACAAATTTGCCTGCAATACGAGTAGAATCACTGAGCTACAGGGAGAAATAGAAGTGGTTAAAAAGAAACAACTCCAGAACCTAGAAGACACTTGCAATGACATCCTGCAGATGGGCGACAAATGCCTCATGATTCTGAATCAGGTCAACAGCTTCTCCCAAAAGGAAACACAGGGGATGCTAGAAGGTGTGAAGAAATATTTGCAAGGAGAAAATGGTGCCTTAGTGGATTCGATTCAGTGGGTGTCAGCAGCCGTGAAAGTTCAGTTATACCCAATATTTGGCAGCAACATAAACCTTGAAGCCGATGAAAGTTAAACATTTTATAATACCTTTATAAAATTTTGTTTAATAAAGTCCAATAATATTTAAATTTATAATTAACCTTCTTCAAATCATAATGGAAAGCAAAACTTTTTTTAATTTTCATTTATTTAATGGAAACGTGCCTATTTTCACTTGTCTTGCTTATTTATTTTATATTTTCAAAAGAAGATAGTATTCATCCATGTATTTTGCATAATGATTACATGAAGTGT